CAGTCTCAGTTCGCGATTCTAAAAAATGTCTTGGCAGTCAATCAGGTCAGTTCACTACCTCCAGACTGACAGTTTGAACCGCAAAGATGAACTGACAACTGACTGATTGACTGATAGCAACTCTGTTTCCAACGAATAGGATAAGCTGCAGACAGCCACCTCCAATGGCGACATTGGACAGTTCAGCCTTTTTTTTTTTGGTCAGCCGCACTGAACCTGGATTTTGGTACACACAGGATCGACTTACAAATATCGGAGACTTTATATGCCTTCGGACGAAACTTTACGAATATTTCAATCGAAAGGTCATCGTCAAGGTCTCCGCACTTACACCTTACCAAACATGCTTTGGCGGTCTCTTAGGTGCTGATCACGCCTTCGTGTTGCTTTTTGACAAGCATCGCGGCCGGAGGGGTATCATCTTCGGGTAATGCATTGGCTTACATGGCTTGCACTACACCGATCCCATGTACCAAGCAAACATATCTCGGACCTCTCCGCGCGGTCGTCCGCTTAGACAAGACCCTGCTATCTACTTACCTTACACATGTCGCAATCATTGGTTGGTGAATCATTAGATCTTACCTCCGATCACGTTTTATGTCCGCTTACTCCGCTAAAACCACACGCACCTTCGTTGAACTACTGTCAGAAGAGAAGTCGACGAGTCGCAACACTGCGAAAATCGGGTCGAGCAAGGACTCCCTGACTTCTGTCCTATAGCCTACCGGTACGTGGTGGAGGGTAAGACTTACCCATGTAGATTGTGACTGCTTCAGGAGCTATCGGAGACATACACGAACAGTACGGCATATCCGTCTCTGACTCCGCTGACATATTGTGGGACTTTGTTATTCTCTTCTGCCAAGAGCCATGCCTTCATGATGTGCAAGAGACTCTGACAAACTTCCGTGCTGGGCATGTAAGACATGGAGTTAATGTGGTAGCCAGAGTGAAGGATATAAGCCCACAGAACAGGCTCTCTGTACCAGTACAACATCACCACGTTTCAACCTTTTGTCCTACAAGCACGCTTCCCTTGACGGCTTTTCAACTTACCCTCACCTGCCACTCCTGGGTTGCTACTACTAGCTATATACATACTTCCTTATCCCCCTAGTATCTCCTTCCAATTGCACAGCCTCTACAATAACATCGCCAAAATGTCATACCTCTTCAAACATTCTAGCGTTGGGACCTTAGCACATTACATTAAGCATCGCAAATTCGACTATACCCGCACAACAGCAAAGCCGATATCTGCTTCATCATCGACCGACGACCTCCCCTTCCCAAAAGAAGATGTTATCACAGATGCAGCTGTTGGAGCAGAGCTTAAGCAGCATCAGACCACGCTTGTCGATTGGAATGGACCAAGCGACCCAAGCAATCCTCAGAACTGGCCTCAATCCCACAAGATACTCGTGACGGTCTTGCTCTGCGTCTACACCTTCGCCGTGTACGTCGGCTCCTCAATATACACGTCCTCACAACAAGCTGTCATGGACAAGTTTGACGTCAGCCACGTCGCTGCCTCGCTGGGTATTGCGCTCTACGTGCTGGGTTACGGTATCGGATGCCTGCTCTTCTCACCACTGTCCGAAGTACCGGCTATAGGCAGAAACCCTCCGTACGCGATATCTGGTTTCTTCTTCATCATCTTGTGCATACCAACCGCGCTGGTGGACAACTTCGCTGGTCTGATGGTACTGCGTTTCCTCCTGGGATGTAAGCACGACCCCTTCTCGGTCTGCTTATGAGATATATACTGACTTCCTACTTTCACATTTAGTCATGGCTTCGCCCTGTCTTGCCACCGCTGGTGCGTCTCTCGGCGACATCTGGACCATGGCGGAGTTCCCCTTCGCTGTCGCCCTTTGGGCTGCCGTCGCAACCTTGGGACCTGCGCTTGGCCCGACTCTATCTTCATATGCCGTCAAGGACTTGGGCTGGCGCTTCTCGAGCTGGGAGCTGCTCATTATTGCCGGTCCCGTATACCTCGCCATACTCTTGGTTTTACCAGAGAGCTCAGGACCCACCATCCTGTACTACAAAGCAAAGCGCATGCGAGAGGATACCGGAAACCAAGAGTTGATGTCGGCCTCGGAGCGAAAGCAGAGGGATATGAAAGTTAGTAGCTTGCTGTTCGACGCGCTTGTCAAGCCTTGGGAGATTAACGCCTTGGATCCTGCTATCTTGTTCACCACGGTGTACATGGGCTTATGCTATGGCATCTACTACTCGTTCTTCGAGGTAAGTACCCATCTTGGTCAGATCACAGACAACACTGCTGACGCATCCATCTTAGTCTTTGCCTCTCGTGTATCCCGTCTACTACGGCTTCAATGCTGAGTCCACAGGCCTTATCTTCCTCTGCATCCTTCCAGCCTGTCTTTCCGCCTTTGCTGCGCATGTGCTATACCTCAAGTACCGCGTTTTCCCACGCCTTATGAATGGGACGTTCGGAGAACTCGAAAACCATCTATGGCCCGGTATGGTCGCCAGTCCCGTTATTGCAGTGGGCCTGTTCATCTTCGCATGGGCGTCTAGACCCTCGGTCCATTGGATGGTGCCCACCATTGGCCTCAGTCTTACATGTTTTGGCATCTACTTCATCGCTCAGAGTGTCCTGCTCTACATTCCCAACATCTACCCGACATACGCAGCCAGTATCTTCAGCGCCAATAGTTTGAGCAGAAGCGCGTTTGCATTTGCGGCGATCCTATTCGCAAGGCCCATGTTCCAGGGTATTGGGATCGATGGTGGTGTGAGTTTGCTGGCAGGCTGCATGGTGCTGTGCTCGTTCGGCATCTTTGCACTTTACAGGTTTGGCAAGACGTTACGACAGCGGAGTCGCTTCGCTGTTGTCTGATGATGGAGATGTAATAAGTGTAGGGCTGTCGGTTGGTGCACAGTGGAGGGCGGGGGGTTTTACTGCATGAATTAAGAGACCGTGTACAGAGAAACGACTTTCTGATCCCTAATGAGTAATAATAGACATATGAGAATTTAATATCACTGAGTCCATCGCGATAGCTTCTCCAAAGGCAATGTGAAGTCTGCTTAAGCTCGCAAAGAGTTTGCCGCGCAGTCGTATTTGATAAGGATCGGCGAACGCCAGCTCATGATTTGCGCCAGCACCCGCCGCGGGTCTGCAAATCACCTCCAGGGCTCGTACCGATTGCGCAACTCACCTCAGTCCCTGGATTGCTCGCAGCACGTATCATTTTAGTCAAAAATTCACCAAGGCAGGCTTCAGTGCAGTATGTTCGCATTCTAACTCCAGCCTACTCGCCAGGCAGTCTGCGGAGGTGTGCTCGTCTCGAGGTCGCATCCTCACAAGATCTGCATACTCATGATAACGGGGCTTCGGCGCTGCAGATGAGTCAGAGCACGACAAGTCTTTGCCTTACAACTCATGTCGTTCTGCGCTTTCGATAGCTCCCGTTATCCTCAAACCACGGGTCCCATAGCAGCGCGTGTGCTAGCTCCCTGGACGTGTCGTTTTCGCGAATTCGATGGATAGCGTTTGTCGCGGACCTCCCGCAGGAAAAACTGGTCCGAGGCTAGACCCACCACATGTCTCCACCAAGAATAACCTATCGTCAGTCTTGGCTCATCAGACGGAGAAGGAACATCAGGCGGATAAGATGATATTCGAAGGGATCGCCCGAAACAACAAGACTAGAGCGCTCGAGAATATCTCGTATTTGTATAATATGTTGCCCGCACAAAGAGCAAGGGCGGGCGGGCGGGGAGAGAAAGAGACCCTCGTTGAAGGATGCGATTCTGACAGGGCTGAAAGTGCTTGTCCCAAAACGGCATGGTTGACGCTCGGTGCCCCTGACTTAGCCATCGCTTGAGCCGTAGCCGACGCCTCTTCAATCACAACCAACACCAGTTCACTCGGACTCGTTCCCCCATTGGGATGAAACCACTGCACCCAAGCCGCCATGAGAAGATTCCTGCAGGCAGCCACCCAAAGACCCGGTGTTTACATTGTCCCGACTGCATATTCAGGAGACCGTTGTGGTACCATACCATTCTCTGGCCAACTCAACCGGCATTGCCGATCCATCGCAAGATGTAATATCATCACGAGCAGAAGTCGCTGTCTTTATGTGCCAGCTCGTATAATGCAACAAAGAACAACCACGCCACCGGGACGCAGGACCGACTGATCGTTCTGAGCCATTATTCCAGGCACCACCCACTCTCCTTCCTTTTGCTGACGCTCGAAGGAACCCTCTCTACGATTTAACCGAGATTGATGCTATCGATACTCAGACACGGCCCATTCACCGGTCTTGAAGCTAGGGTAAGGCGTCACATGGAAGCGTTTCCAAAAGCCATGTTAATGCTTAGCGCTCGCGCAGGCGCAGGTACAGTTGGACGCCCTACGATACTTCAGACCGGAAGCGGCTAGAATCCAGGCACCTCTACCAATGGCATGGAACTACGGCAGCCATCGTCCTGTTTCTGCAGGTACACGATGCCGTCTCATTCTGCACGATGGGCTTCATGCTACTAGGCGGCACAGTCAACGTCCGTTCCATCTCGCTCATGCAGGTACAGCCCTGTGGGCCAAGACTAGATATAGCGCAATCTCCCATGTCCTCTTTTCTTATCGTCAGTCGCACTGCTTTCCAGTTCGTCGTCAAGTCACTCTTTCGAGACTACATCCTAATTGCAGCATTTTTGCTTGCGTCCTTTCGTTGAGTCCGCTCATCACGATCTTTACTGGCCTCCGGCCGTCCTATCATTGAAAATTGCATATCGTTGCTAATACTGTTAATCCCATAATCATGTCTCCCTCAACCTTCACTCGCGCTGCTTTCGCAGCTGGGCTTCTTGCCTCTGGTGTCTCGGCGGCTTTCGACAATGCTGCTAAGACGAACATTGCTATGTACTGGGGACAAGGAAACGCTCAGATTCCACTGTCCGAGGTCTGCGCTGATCCAAACATCGATATCGTCAACATTGGCTGTAAGTAATGATATATCTCCATCAGTGGATCAGGATTCTCCTCTAGACTTGGAAGCAATGCTAATGGCATTGAATGACAGTCATCAACGCATTCCCTTCGGTAGTAGGCTCATACCCGGGAAGCAACCACGCCAACGCGTGTGGTAGCGAAGTATACTACGACCCGGTTCTGAAGAAGGACAGCAAGCTTTACAGCTCATGCCCTGGCGTGGGAGATGCTATCACTGCTTGCCAGAAGAGCGGCAAGAAGGTCATGCTCTCTCTCGGTGGTGGTTGGCCTACTGACTACTATCTGCCATCCCCTGAGGTCGCTACATGGACTGCCCAATTCCTGATCGGAGCCTATGGTCCTCCCACCGCCGCCTGGAAGGCGGCTGGCAGGCCTCGTCCTTTCGGCGATGCCGTCGTTGACGGTTTTGACCTCGATCTCGAGGCACAAACCTACGACATGCCTTCAGCTGAGTACATTTACAAGAACTACGACGTCTTCGGCAAGTACGTCAAGAGCAACTCGAAGATGCTTCTCTCCGCCGCACCTCAGTGCGTTGTCCCAGACGTCAGGATCTCACCGGTCCTCAAGGCCGTTCCCTTCGACTTTATCTTCACTCAGTTCTACAACACCCGAGTCTGCTCTGCCGCTCAGGCCGTCCAAGATATCAAGGACAAGAAGACTGGCACCTTCACTTTCGACAAATGGATCTCCGAGATCAAGGCCTCTGCGAACCCCAACCTCAAGTTCTACATTGGATTGGCCGCAGGTCCGGATGGTCTCCCCACCCACAAGGAAGACTACCTCACGCCCGAAGATGCGAACACCCTGATTACGAAGTACAAGGGCAACACCAATTTCGGCGGTGTGATGCTCTGGGAGGCCTCCGTTTCCGTCAGGAACCCAACATACGGTCGGTCCTACGGTACTTGGATGAAGTATGCTGTCGAGGGTACCTTCTTGAAGAACTACAAGCCTATCGTGTCTTCCAGCACCAGGTCTTCAACAACCTCTACTAAGACCTCTTCCACCAAGACACCTTCCAACACCCCTGTTACTTCCACCAAGAGCTCGTCCACCAAGATCTCGTCCTCCACTCCTATCTCGAGCAGCAAGATCTCGTCCTCTACTCCTGTCTCGAGCAGCAAGATCCCTTCCAGCACTCCTACCCTCAGCACCATGATCACCAGCAGCAAGACCTCATCTTCTGCTTACGTTACCTCAAGCATGATTTCTTCGTCTGCATACGTCACATCCAGCTCGATTTCCAGCAGCAGCAGCAGTAGCTCAGCATACGAAACTGTCTCTACCAAGAGCGCCAGCTCCGCCGAGACTGTCAGCAGCACCCTGATCGAGCCATCTTCCATCGCAACGATCTCTGCGTCTGCCTCTAGCAGCGAGTCAGCCTACGTGCCTTACCCGACTGAGTCTGCCAGCTCTGTTGAGACCATCAGCAGCTCCGCGACTGAGTCTTCTTCCATTGACACCATCTCTGCCACAAAGGAGGGTAGCTCAGTATACGTGCCTTACCCGACCGAGACCCCGAGCTCTGTCGAGACTGTCAGCAGCACCTTCATTGAGCCGTCGTCCATTGCCACGATCTCCGCATCTGAGACTGTTAGCAGCTCTGTCTACGTTCCCTCGAGCGAGACCTCTGCCTCCACCGACAAGTACCCCACTGACACTGTCTCCGCGACTACCCCTGAGGGCGTCTCTTCGACTTCTTGCAGCACCTCCAGCGTTGCATACTCCACTGGCGCTAGCTCCAGCGATGTCTACTCAGTGTCATCTGTCGTATACTCATCTGGTGTCTACTCTACTGCATCCCCGGTGTACCCCACCTCGACCTACTCTGCTAGCAAGGGTGCGGACTACCCCGAGTATCCCGCTGAGAGCTCCAAGAGCGACGCTGAGTCAAGCACTGGCTACGAGAGCGTTCCATCGGTTACGAAGAAGCCTGAGTACTCTGAGTACCCCAGTGCTCCTACTGGCTCCACCACCGCCACTGTCATCACTAGTAAGTTTATAGCGAGCCCAAACATCCACTTACTATTCGCTAACATCTGATAGCTACCTACGTCGATGTCTGCCCTACTGGTCTGACTACCGTCACCACCACATACTGGACAACCGTCTGCACCAAGTGCGCCGCGAAGCCCACCGGCTCGGCCGACGTGCCTGAGGGTTGGACCACCAGTGTCTACACTGCCAGCACCGTTACCGTGACCCTTACTAAGCCCATCGTGACGCCTACCAGCATGCCCGCATACCCATCGTCCGCTCCTTCCGTCGCATACCCTGCGGACTACCCTGCCAAGCCCGTGTCCTCTGGCAAGCCTGGATACCCTGCCGTCCCTGAGGCATCTATGCCCGCATACCCAGCTGCTCCTAAGCCTTCCAAGGCTGCCGAGTACTCAGCTGTTCCTGAGGCTTCCAAGGGCGCCGAGTACCCCTCTGTCCCTGAGGCATCGATGCCTGCGTACCCTGCCGCTCCCCACTCCTCCAAGGCCGCTGAATACCCATCCGTCCCTGAGGCTTCAAAGGCTGCGGACTACCCATCTGCTCCTCAGGGATCCATGCCCGCCTACCCTGCCGTTCCTGAAGCCTCCAAGGCGGCTGAACATCCTGCCATGCCCGAGGCACCCAAGCCAGCTTCTTCCTCTGCCGCCGCTGGCTACCCATCTGCACCCATCGCTTCCGAGTACCCCAAGAAGCCTGTCGAGCAGGAGGTTACCAGCACCGTCCGCGTTACCTCCACCCTCTCCAAGGTCGCCGTTCCCACTTACGCTCCCGCTCCTTACCCAACGGTCAGCGCTGGAGGTGCGCCTTACGTCCCTGCCGGCTCTGCCAGCAGCTACGCGTCTATGCCTACCGGCACTGGTGTCGGTTCCGCTTACCCTTCCATGCCAGCGGAGTTCACCGGTGCTGCTAGCCGTGCTGGTGCTGGATTCATGATGGTTGTTGGTGTTGTTGGTGCCGTTCTTGTTCTATAAATTTGAGATGTGATGGTTGGAGAGTTGTTCTGATGTTTACGTTTCTCATGTCATTTCGTACGTTTTTTAGATACCACTATACATAGTTGTATGTCATGCGAGTACGCGCGATTTTCGCTCTCTGTTGCTTGAACTGTTCCTTGACGTGTTCATTGACGACGTTCTTCGTGTTTGAATGTCCATGTAAACGCCCCTGCAATGCTCCGCTTGGAGTGTGTGGTAATAGCAAGCTGGCAATGGCTTATTAATGATGCAGGCGGAAGACGAGGGTTGCGGATCGGCCGCGGGAGGCCGCGGGGGAGAAGCTTGGAGCTTCGAAACGTGGTGGAGACAGCCCAGTCACCTTTCGTCATTCCCTCGCGAACACCAAATCCACGCAAACGCGCAGCCTTTGTCGACGCAACAAACTCGACCGTCAGAGCGCCGCGATGCCCATACAGAAGCCATTCCACTTACGTATTGTTCCACCTGACTGAAACTCGCAGCCTCACCTTGCGTTCGCCTAGCTGTTTGTAGAAACATCACCTTTCACCTAGCATTTGCCTCTCCGCTTCTTCCTCGAGCTACTCTCACCAAACCCATATAAGCTTCTGGCAAGCCATATAGCGTGTCAAGATGAAGTACACAGTCTACGACCGCTTGCTCAAGCGCGAAGTCGGACAACAGCCCAGAAAATACTCCGACATTCGATCGATATACGGTGATCGCAAATGGATTAACGACCTTGACATTGTGAACGAGCTAGAAGGCCACAACGGATGCGTCAATGCTCTTAGGTATGCCATTACCCTACGTGAACATCGGTGACATGACCTGACTCTATCAGTTGGTCAACCTCAGGCCGCCTACTCGCCTCTGGCTCCGACGACCATCGCATCAACATCCACTCGTACCACCCCGAATCGTCCACCTCGCAGTTCAGCCTCACTACTTCTATCGAGACGGGTCACCGGTCCAACATCTTCTCGGTGAAGTTCATGCCCTACTCGAACGATCGCACCATTGTGAGCGCAACAGACGATGTAAGGATATTCGATATCGAACACTCAGGGCACTCGGCCCTCTGGTCTACTGGCAGATCCAACAGCGGAGGGAATGCAGCCAGAGCACGAAGCAGAGTGACGCTCACAGAAGCTGATACCAACGCAAAGGCATTCCGTTGCCACACTGACACTGTCAAGCGCATTGTCACCGAAGACAATCCCTTCTACTTCCTTACATGCTCAAACGATGGAGAGGTACGGCAGTGGGATGTACGACAACCTTCAAGGGCATATCCGCCTGCACGAGACACCATGCTACCTGCGTGGGCGAGAGACGAAGACGCATCAGACAGTATTCCGCCGCCACTCATCTCGTATGGCAGGTATGGACTGGATCTCAACACAGTATCTTGCTCGCCTAGTCAGCCGCACTACATCGCATTAGGTGGAGCGCATCTCCATTGCTTCTTACATGATCGACGTATGCTCGGTCGTGACATCAACAACGAGCGGGGATCCAGACTTTCTAGTCCAGGAAACTGGAGTGAAAATGATGAAGAGCTGTTAGGAAAGGCAACACAATGCGTCAAGAAATTTGCGCCTCACGGGAAGCGTCGCATGAACAGAAGCGATGGCGGTCACATTACAGCATGCAAGATTAGTGATGCTGAGCCAAATGAGCTCATCGTGAGTTGGTCTCAGGATCACATTTACAGTTTCGACATCCTGAGGGCCCCGGACGCTAGAGAGAATGTGAAACCCGTCAAGACGTCAAATAGTGGATCTAGCAATCGTGTGAAGGACACAAGTAGGAAGCGCAAGCGACCAAAGTCTAGCACCTTGTCACAAGAAGGAGTGGAGAGAGCAGAGTCAAGAGCACGAACCGCAAGTGCTGATGAGGACCTGGCACTCCGAGTGACCTACGGAAACGGTCAAAGTGAAGATATTCGCATTCATCCTCCTGCGGAGAACCGCATGACCCAAGAAGAGTTGAATGATCTGCGAGCATCCGATCATTACCGTATTGCAAGCACAACTGTCAAAATAGCAAAGCACATCTTTGAGCTTGGAGAGCTCGGTGAGTCCGGACTCCGACTTGCATGCACATCTATCGTAGGTCTGGCGCATTCAATCTTGTCCGACATGGATGACATAGACAGGACTTGGGGCTATCCGATCGACCCAGATCCGGTAGACGTCGCAGTTCAAAACAAGCTCCGCGACAGCAGAGCGGCCTCTCGTCGCTTCGTGCAAGCAGCTGGGACGTTAGCCCGCGTACTGGGAGGACAGCTCTTGACCGGATCCAGCTCCGATGCACTAATAGCTCAGTATTTCGCGTCTATACAACCGGCGCCGCGAGAACGCGAGCTTCCACAACACGAACAGTTTGGATATGATTTCCTGAAAGCTATACTATTGTGGATCGACAGTGGCCCTGCTGCAGTTGTGGAGGGGTTTTCGCGTCGAAGTGGCAGCGCTCGCTTCCCCATCCCATATGATTCTGATTTGGATGCTATCCAGGAGCGGTTGGTTCCATATCTGCTTGAATTGGCAAGCGATAATAGCATCGTCAACGTGGACGCCTCCAAATTCGAGACAGACACTACTCGGGTATTGTTCGACTCCGAATTCGAGGCTGTAGATACCTTCGGTCATGCACTCAAAGTACCTTTCGCTGATCTTACTGGCGAGAGAGATTCAACATCCCAGTCGGAATCTTCTAATGAGCCCACGCAGACTCGAGCTGCAGCGAGAAGGAGATGGGTGTATCAAGTTGGGAGGGGTGTACTACGCAATGCAGCTAAGGATATTAAGTTTGCTTTTGTGGATCGCGCCTTTGGTGGTCAGGGTATATCAGATAAGACGATCAGGGCGGAAGAGAAAGCATTGAGGGAACGACAGGAGGAGATTGATACCACAGTAGATGAAGGGCCGGTTCGGGATGCGGAACTTGTCAGCACAGCAGCACGAGAAAACAGCGATCAGGAAGAGGCTACTTTAAGCGCTTCTCATGCGAACGAGTCGGAATCAGTAGTCGTTGAGAGTGCTGACGAAGACGACGAAGAAGAAGAAGAAGATGATGACGAAGACGACACCGACGGTGATGCAGACTCAGACGATGGAGAACAAGAAGACGATGACGACTCTGACTCGGTCGACGAAGAAGGACTCCAACGTACACGATCCGGACACATGCTCTGGCGATCAGACTTCAGCCGTAGTCGTTACAGGCGATGGAGAGTCGAGCGCGACGTCCCTTGTGTACCCCATACACGTGTCTACACCGGCCATTGCAACGTCAAGACAGTCAAGGATGTGAACTATTTCGGCCTGCAAGACGAATACGTCGTCAGCGGGAGTGACTCTGGGCACGTTTTCATTTGGGATCGCAAAACAGCAGAGCTTGTCAACATCTTGGAGGGAGATGGTGAGGTGGTGAATGTTGTTCAGGGTAAGTTTCGTATACTCAAGTATAGAGAGAGAGGAAAGAGTCTAACATGGTTTGAACAGGTCACCCATACGAACCCACAATGGCAGTTTCCGGTATCGACCACACGATCAAGATCTTCTCTCCAGACGCCCACCTGCAGCGTAACGCACGCAAAGGCGTCGGTGTGCAATCATCTGACCCAGGTTCCTTTTCCAGTCTCAATTTTGGCCGTAGACGGCGTAACCGCGCCGCCGAGCCTTCTGCTGAGGCTACTGGTAGTGAGCCTGCAGTCGACGCTCCCAGTGACAGCGATGACGAAGTTGCGCCTGGTGGACTGAGCAGTCGGAAGAGGATGCACCAGAGTTATCAGATTACGAGCCAGAATGATATGGATAGGAAGGGCGGGAGGGATGATTATTTCATCAGTCAGGCTGTTTTCGCGCAGTTGGCGAGGCATATTGCGAGGGGGCAGGGTGGAGGTGAGGAGGGAGGAGAAGGAGGACCGGTTATCATTACTGAGGAGAATTGTAACATCATGTAGTGCATATATGGCAATGCATGTTTGAACGAAGTTATCATGCATTCGTCTGTCTAGCCATCAGAAGAAGTTTGGTGGCGCAATGAACATTCATGTGTCCGCTCCAAGCTTTACTCCTATTCACCAATGTCATCTGTCGCATACCAGAGCCGCTTCACTTCATAAGGCCAACATGGGAAAGAACTGCAACGTCATATGGGCAAGAGTAAAAGTCTGAAGGACAATTCCATATTCATTTCACAGCCACCAAGCCAATTACACAGGCGCAATCCAATGTTGTCGCGCCCTCCTGAACTTTTACTCCTATCTTGGAAGATGAAGCTCGACATCCGCGATGCAAGCGCTCGTGTCTCCCTTCTATGAGGCCTTCTTCTGCTTGGCCTTGAGCGCCTTCTTCCGGTTGCTCCTTATCATGACTACCGAGAGGAAGCTACCGACGACGGTGGTACCGAGGATGATGAGGATGACGGGAATGCGGATGGCCCAGACGCGTGGCAGGAAGAGGGAGTGAAGGATGTGGTCGTCATCCACGAAGGGCTGCATAGAGTTAGGACATGTTGCAGAACTAAGCAGAAGTGTAAAAGCATACCATGAACAGAGTCCACACAGTGTAGTAGACGAAGATGGCAGTCGCTGCGACGAGCATGCTGAGACCTACAAGGCGATCGGCCTTCCTATTGTCAGTGATCATAGTCTTTCACTTGAGGGATTGCAACATGCCATTGTGAAGTTTGGCGAAGGAGTGAACGAGTGTATTAGCTTGGAGTAATTGGTGGTTGCAATCACCTCGCTGTCCCTTCCCCCCCAAAGTCGCGCCAAGCTAAGGACCCCTGTCGGTGAAATCGCGGCCCGTTCGCCGCAACCTTGGATCGCCCAACCGCCTGCGAGCTAAACTTTTGCGAAGCGCGTCACTCACGCCTCACCACCGACATCCTTCACCCTCGACACGACCCGCTGACCGAGAATGGAAGTCGCATCTGCCGTTCGACTGCCTTCGCCGGAGCCGGAGCTCGACGACGACGCCAAGGAAGTTCCGCGCAAACGCGAGCGCTCACCATACGACGGACCGAGTGCTGGGCCATCGAAGAGAAGTAGGAGAGACGACGAAGAGGATGACCGTCGCAATGGGGGCTCAGGCCGTCGCCCGGCGCCAAAGCCCACGACCGACGACCTCCCCGAGGATGACTCGCGATTGAACCTCTTCAAGAATGCCTTCAGCGCGAACCGCAAGCTGCCGGTTGACGATTCAAAGACACGTGCTGGAGGCGCGTACATCCCTCCTGCGCGACTGCGCGAGATGCAAAAGTCGATTACCGACAAGAAGAGTCCCGAGTTCCAGCGCATGGCTTGGGAGGCGCTCAAGAAGTCGATCCAGGGTTTGATCAACAAGACGAATACGGCAAACATCAAGATGATAGTGCCGGAGCTGTTCTCGGAGAACCTGGTGCGCGGGCGCGGTCTGTTCTGCAGAGCTATTATGAAGGCGCAAGCAGCCAGTCTGCCCTTCACGCCCATCTACGCAGCGATGGTCGCCATTGTCAACACAAAGTTGCCTCAAGTTGGCGATCTGCTGGTTCGACGTTTGATTGTGCAGTTCAGGAAGGGCTTCAGGAGAAACGACAAGGCTGTCGCGCTATCGAGCACCATGTTCCTTTCGCACCTCGTCAACACGCAAGTCGTCCACGAGATCTTGATCGCCGAGATCCTGCTTCTCCTGCTCAACAAGCCCTCCGATGACTCTGTTGAGATCGCAGTCGGTATCATGAAAGAGGTCGGCGCTTTCCTCGACGAGATGAAGCCTGCGATCGCCAATGCCATCTTCGACCAGATGCGCAACATCCTCCACGAAGCCGACATCGACAAGCGAACACAGTATATGATTGAGGTTCTCTTCGAGGTTCGGCGCACAAAGTACAAGGACAACCCTGTCATAAGGGAAGACCTGGATCTGGTGGAGGAAGAGGATCAGATTACCCACAACCACACGCTTGAGGGCGATTTGAAGGTCGAGGACGGTCTGAACATCTTCAAGGTTGATCCGGATTACGAAGCGCATGAGGAAGAGTACGCGAAGATCAAGGCTGAGATTTTGGGCGAAGAGGAGGGTAGCGATGAAGACGAATACACGGATGCATCGTCTGAGGATGAGGAAGACGAAGAAGTGAAGGCCATGGATGTCAAGGACCAGACCAACGCGGACCTTGTCAACCTGCGCCGAACTATTTACTTGACCATCAAGAGTAGTGGTGGTTTCGAGGAGTGTGTGCACAAGCTTATGCGCATCAATCTACCGCATGGGTTGGAAAACGAGCTCACAACGATGATCGTCGAGTGCGCAAGTCAGGAGCGCACATACGAGAAGTTTTACGGCATGATCGGAGAGCGCTTCTGCAAGTTGAACAGGATGTGGACCGACCTTTTCGAGGAAGGCTTCGCCCACTACTACGAGACTATCCACCGTTTCGAAACGAATCGCCTTCGCATCATCGCACAGTTCTTCGCCCATCTACTAGCGTCTGATGGTATCGGTTGGCACGTCTTCCAGGTGGTCAAGATGACGGAGGAGGACACCACATCCAGTTCACGTATCTTCGTCAAGATTCTGTTTGAAGAGCTCCTGGCCTCACTTGGTCAAAAGGTGGTTGTAGAGCGCTTCAAGGACCCTATGCTGCAGGACAGTCTTACTGGTATCTTCCCCACCGATGCAGACGATCAGAGCAAGACACGCTTCTCAATCAACTTCTTCACAGCCATCGGTATGGGTGTGCTTACTGAAGGCATGCGCGACTGGCTCAAGAACAGTGCGCCCAAGCCTAAGCCACTTCCCGAGCCAGAAAGCGACTCAGACGATCGCAGTGTTTCATCAAGATCAAGCTACACTTCAAGCAGCTACTCGCGATCCCGCAGCCCGGTTCGCAGAAGGCGTGACGACTCAAGATCTAGATCCAGATCTAGCTCAAGAGGCCGTTCGTACACACGCAGCCCTTCGCCAGATCGCAAACGTGGAGGTCGTGGCAGAAGCGGCTCTTACAGCTCCGCATCCCGCTCTCGATCACGATCCCGTTCCCCAGCCCCCCGCAAACTCAAGAGCAAGCGCTCCTACTCATCCTCCCTCTCTCGATCACGCTCCCCGGCACCCAGGAAACGCGGTCGCAGCCCCTCATCCTCGGTATCCCGATCTCGTTCCCCACCGCCAAAGGGCAAATCAACACGTCGCGGACGTAGCCCATCTGGTTCCATATCCCGCTCTCCACCTCCGCGCCGTAGTCGAAAGTACTCGACATCCCCGTCTCGCTCGCCATCTCCCCCACCGCGTCGTCGACGCGATTCTAGTAGTCCACCGCCATCCAAAGGAAAGGGGAGAGCGAGGGACGTTAGTGATAGTCCGCCGCCGCGTCGCAGGAGGGATTCTAGTAGCCCACCGCCCGAGAGAGGTGTTAATGGAAAGGGGAAAGCGGTAAAGAGGGAATACAGTGAGAGTCCACCGCCAAGGATTAAGAGGGATGATAGTAGTCCACCTCCCAGAAGAAGGAGGGACTCGTAGTTGGAGTTCTGTGGCTGAGGGCTAGATGGTCTCGCAACTTGGCAAGAGTGGGGAGAGAATCGTGGGTTGTATAGCAATGGGCGTTATATCGTTTTACGGGGAGGAAGAGTGTATGGAATGGCAGCGTTTGCATTGTACATTTACTGGAAGCATAGTTGCGAGATTGAGCGAGAGAAGTAAAGGTGCGGTAAAAAACCGTAGCATTAGTTTGGGTCTATCGATCGATTTAACTACGAGAAGAGAGATATATCATCGCATCGGCAGCCTCGTACTGAACAATCCTTTCATCTGTGCGGACATTCGTTGATCTTGTTTTCTTTCCGTGTTTTGGTATCGTCGTGGCGCTGCAGAATCCGTAGAGGAAGCTTGCAGTATGCTACGTGCAATATCCTGGCAATGGTTGGGATGTTTGTTGACACGCTTGCGCGATGGCAAGTTTGTACGAATCTACTGCTACGCTGTACTGCTTGGCTGAGTAGACCGTCGAGAGGACGCCAAAGAGGATTGTCAAGAAGAAAACTCCGAAAATGGCCACCCATATGGTTGCGAATTGGGCGGTATTTCTTCTATCCAGTAGAGTTTGACGTACAGTTTCCGGAGGTCCATAGAACAAACTCAGCAGTTGTGACAGACGACTCCTCCAGAATTCAAAGTCATCGAGTTCGGTCGCTTGAGGTATATCAATTGAGTTCTCTATCCACATCTGGACCTTTTCGTCGTTCAAGAAGGTCTCTGTCGGTTCGTCACCCTCAGGGAATAGGAGTTCAAGAGTACAAATGGTCTCGTCTAGAAGATCCCTTGGAATGAGCATTGGTTCGGGTTCTTTTCGGTGGTTTATTAGGCAGATTTTGTGTTTGTAGATTGACAGTTGACGCTCCCCCCGAGACCCGTGTAGTCTCAAATGATCCGCTAAATTATCGGTCCATAGTATCTCTAATCGACATATGTCCTTCAGGCCCACAGCTGTAAATGAATCGTCGAACAGGAACATTGGTGCAGTACGCGCTTTCCTTTTGCTGTTAATGAATGGTGCAGCAACCATTTCTTTCAGTGAGTGGTCATCTTGCCATCGGATGTAAGACACTCTCGACTTTTCCGGTCCAACAAATAATCCCTTGGAGCGCACGTTGACACCTATCCAAAGACGAACTGTAAGTTCGATAGAGCAAGCAATAGCTTTGTCGCCGATGTTTTGATAGTGCTTTCTGAGATCGGACACCAGCACCTCCTTCTTTGTATCTCTACCGAAGCTCAACTGGGTAATCATAGCAAGTATGCCGTCCCACTCTTCTATCGCGAACTCGTGGCTGAAAGGGCGCAGGCTTCTCAGAGTTTCTCCCCAGTAGCTAAACAAAGCTGTGTATTCGTCTTCGAAGTAGTCACTCTCCGAAATATTCAAATGAGGCCAGAAAGCATTAATTAGGGCACACTTTTGCGTTATCCCAAGGTCTTGTGTATCCGAGAATAGTCTCTTGTTGACGAGCGACATAGTCCCAATCCACCGTCATTCGGAAACACAAATGGAAAGCCGTTTCGTGCGGAGTGATACTGTTGTTTTCTCGATTCCATGTAGAGGATAGGTTGAGTTAGAGATTTTGGATTTCTAGGTTCACACGTTTTCTGATCCTGTGCTGTGGACGTCATCCTACATATGCCACCTTCACGAGTTGCTAGCGCTAACCAGTTTAAGCCACCAACGATCTCAGCTGAAATTCCTAGTTTGTTGCGCCGAACCCCGCATTCCCTCCTTCATTAACACCACGAACGGCAAGCGTAGTCAATGGTACCAACTTTGATCCAGAAGCTATATCGAGTCCTGTCGTATGCCTACTTAGCTATGATACATGGCTGATATATCTAGGTACTGGAAGCTAGAGCCAGTAACTGTTGTCAACAGTTACGTGATACGGCTAACATCTCCAGCTGCGATCTACAGGCGCCACAGATTATCGCCTTGACCCTTGGTGCGAGCCACTGGATGTGTATGAATTCAATCTAGGTACCACTGATCCTCTACATATGCTCGCGCTGTCTCATTGTAGCTGCCGTCCGGACACACAACAAAAACCAAAGATGCCTGAACCCACGCCGCTACCTGCTCCACTACTTCTGGAGTTGCTTGTTCCACAAACCGAGACCTTCCTGGTAGAGGGACTCTACATAGGCCTATTGTCGCGACACCGGCCCCCAACCGAGGTGCGAGAATGGTTCGACGACAAACATGTTCGTGAAATGCTTCATACACACGTCAAACGAAAGAACAAGAGTCCAGACTACCTGACGGCCATCATTTTGTGTATGGCCGGTCTGCTCGAGGGAACTCAGGTCCGGTTGACACCAACTATCTGGATTTCGACCGGTGACACGAGGTCGAAAAGTAGCATCAAGAACTCAATCAGCAATGCAACCTACCTCAACAAGTTCCTGGCGAAGTTTCAGATGAGAGAACCTCATGTTACCGTAAGCGGCCCAGAAATTCTGTCGGGAGTGAGAATCTCTTCTGGAGTTGGCGTACACACGTTTGCAATCCGAGGTGCGGATAACAGCTTGGATTCAGTATGTGGTACCAGTGCCAGATTCACAATGCAGGCAGCATCGGATGGCAGTACCTTCCAGTGTTACTCCACTATTGGTGGCTTGATCCTTGTGGATGATGACCTTTTCGCCATCACAACTGCTCACGCTATCACAAAGCATGGAATCCCGGACCCTCGGCACGTGGTCATGGACGAAACAGATGACCCCCTTATACTGAGAGGTTCGCATCTGCGCGAATGGGTGCCCTCACCATTCCCAAACACTTTCGCATATTTAGGCGACGCGTATGTCCGTGGCACCAAAGTTGACAAGCCTGTTGTTGATGCTGCAGACTTTGCTCTCGTCGAACCGCAATCGTTCCCAAAGCTAGGTAACAGATACCAGGTTGAGGGTTGGTCGGATTTCGAAACAGTCTCAGGTCATACACCAACCGCTGAACTCTCTTCCGGAGATGTAACGATTTGTACAAATGACTACAGGGTCCCGATGAAGGGCTATATGGTAGAAGGCGATGCTCCCATCATTGTGGGAGGTGTTATGATGCTTACAAGGATGATAGAAGTGACTATGCCGGCGGGTATGTTGATAAAGGCCTCATGATGCGTTAGGATATCACTAATACAGCACATAGCCCCTGGCTTATCGGGCTCTTGGGTAGTTCGAGGAGAGGAGCTGTGTGGCGTTGTATATGCAGGCAATGCCTCAATTCCATACCTTTACATTATTCCAGCCGAAACCATGCTGGAGAACGTAAAAAAGTTGCTTGGATCTGGTACCGTAAGAGTCGCGACTACCCAGAATATATCTGAGTGGAAGCTTCGACATACACCCGACATTCATACCTGGAAGTCTTTGGCTGATGAGTCGCCCTCGCCACATGTTGAGACCAAAGCGCCTCAACCGCTAGAAGATGTATGCTCTTCACCCTATTCAGTCTTATGGTGATTAAACAACTGAGAACTAACAACACTCCAGACATCTTTCTATGAGATGTATCAAGTGGGAACCATGGTTCGAATCAAATCTTTTTTCGCTGACCTTACTGTTGAATCGCAAGAGATGTATACTGTTTGGGATGCTTCTAGAGATCGACAAGGCAACGCACAATATACGCTTCAAAAGTCCGACGGAAGTCTGGTGGATGGAGGAAGAGAATACAGTAGAAACGAACTGACATTTGTTGTCAGTAAGAGGGACTTTCAGGATGGTGGAGGAAGAGAGTCCAGTGTATTGGCTTTCAGTTACTTCTATGGGGCTGCCGAAAGTCGGGAGGAAAAACCTCGGCATCAGTGAGTATCGCTGTAGCTATCGTGTTCTATGATAACATCGCATTCCAAAGCGTCTTCCATGCTGCAGTGGCACTACTTTCTATCGACTCAACTCCTTCCCTATGATACACATGACTTGGCTGTTGTTAGTAGGCTGAGTCTGGTATCGATATGACAAATTAGGTCGCTTTCTGTCAACACCGAACCTCGAACGAACCTGCCTTTTGTGTCTACAAGCTTACAGTTCTAACAAGAACCTTGGTAGGTAGTCCATCCGCATCGCCCAAAAAAGATTGCACCGTTCTCATACCCAAAGCACTTGAGCGCGCCATCAACGTCTCACTTCCATACACCCGCGAGCTACACTCCTCAGCAACAATGTACAACCACCCTGACACCCAGCAAATTCTTACCCGCCTCGTCAACGATGGTACTCCTCAAGAGATTGCCGAAGAAGGCCTTCGCATCTGTCGCGTCAATGCTGATCTGCGCGCTGAGGTATGTTGTGACTACACAAAATGCATGTGATACATGCACTGACTTCTTACCTTCGACTCTATAGTTGGACCTGACCAGGAGGCATGCTGCAGCTGCGACTGCTGCACTTGCTCGCAGTGGTCCTGCGCTTGCACAACGTGGTGCTGTCTCCGCCTCCATGGCCGCTTCCACATCATCTACTGCTGGTACCATTCCTATCCTCAAGAGCAACACTGCAGTCCCCACCTCCACCATCCCCGCCACCCCTCCTCAAGGCCAGCCTCGGGCTATCAAGGCGCTGAAGAACAAGATCGCAGTAATGGAAGATGCTCTCGCTGAGATGCGGAACGAAGCGCCGAAGATGCGCGAGTGCATGGCGTGGATGTGGGACATCATTGGCAAGGAGCGCATAAATCACGTTCCAAAGCAGTTGAAGGATATGTACCATGAAACGATGGTCGTGGACTTGGTGGATTGGCAGCCAAACGGTAGGGTGAAAGGTGGGAAGGGTAAGGATGACTTGAAGAATACAAAGGGTAAAGAGGAGGTCAAGGTCAAGAAGGAGAGGGCGTCTGCTGCCGACAATGTTCTTGCAGGTGTCAAGCGAAGGGGCGTATCGCCTCTTGGTAAAGATGCTAAGAAGATCAAGTTTGAGCAGAGGGAAGTCTAAGGTGCTGTGGTCGTTAAGTGAAGGTGTAGGTGGAGTGTTTGGCTTTGCATCGAGACCATGTCAACATCAAGTGGTAAACATGGGACCCGCTAAAAGTGTCGTTATAGTACCAAGTATTTGCCAGGCTATACCAATAAACAAAACACGCTAAACATCACAGAAGAAGACACCATTATGAACTTAAAAATTCTTTATTCTATAGAAGAGACAAATGCAATCGCTAATTATCAATAGCCTTCCACGCACACACCACTGCACAGATGCGAAAATACACACGTGAATGATGATAGAAGAAATATTATCGCATCAGGTACATTTCCCTTCAGTCCCTTATTTCCTAGTTCATCGTCTATGAAACCTGGACGAACTGACCCATGGCCGGAACACCATCGACAACGACGTAGATGACGTAAGGACCGGCAGGCGCAATAGCCTTGTTAGGAGGCATGGTGACAGTCAAGCTCTGGGCGGTGGCACCAGCCTTGAAGCCGGTGTTGTCAAGGAAGATCATGCGGTGACCCATGTGGACGGAGTGGGTAACGAATCCACCGTAGTAGAGAGAGATCTTGACGTTCTTAGCGTTGGCAGGAGCAGTGAACTTGATGTTGAAGGTCGAGGCGACCTTGAGGTTCTTGGACGAGATCTGGACAGCGGAGGGACGAGTGGGGTTGCCCTGGAGGTAAGGGGGTGTGTAGATCTCGTTGCGGAACTCAGTGACGAAGGGGTTCTTGGCGTCAGGGGTGAGGATGGGCTGCTCGACGGGGTTGGATCCAGAGATCAGGAGGGTACCATCGAGAAGGAGGAGAGCGACACTGTGGTAGAGACGAGCAATGGTGGAGGCAGGGCCGGTGGTGAAGCGCTTGCCCTTGGGCTGGTTGGGGTCGTAGAGAAGGACCTCGAGGGCGGGGTCCTGGGCAACACCGAAACCTTGGGCACCTTCTTGAGCACCGTTGACCCAGACGACGGTACCGTCGGGGAGGAGAGTTCCCTCAACCATACCACGGCCCTCGGGCATAGAGTCCATCTCCCACTCTGGGTCGGCATCGAGAGGCCTGATGCGACCGCAAGATGGGTCAGCAGGGGCGGTGATGTCCTGGTAAGGGCCACCACCGCAGATGATGATGTCGGGGTTGTAGTCGTTGGCAGAGGAGAGAGGAAGCATGACGGATCCACCAGTGTTGGGGTAGGTACGGTAAGTACCGGGAAGGTCAGGAAGCATGCGGACGACAGTTCCAGTCTCGACCTTGAAGATCTCAGCAGACTTGGAAACCTGAACGAAGAGGTTGCCATCCTTCATCAAGTGCATGAAGGGGTACATGTAGTAGGGCTGGTTCTTGCTGAGGATCTCCATGTTGAAGCTGGTTCCCTGAGGAGTACCGTCGGCGTTGAGCATCTCGTAGGTGGGGTTGTTGTTCTCGGGCTTTGAGGGGTCAAGACCGTTCTTGGATCCAGATGCGACAAAGATTTGGTCGTTGGGCATGATCTGGACGGAAGCGTACCAGCGGGGAGTGTCAAGCTGGGTACCGGGCTCGTTCCAGGCTTGTCCGTCGAGGGAGGCATCGGAAGAGGAGCGCTTGAGGAGACGGATACCGCGGAAACCATCGCCAACAGTGGGGTCAATGAAGTCAAGAGGAGCGTTACCACCGAGAGAAGCGAAACGGCCATCAGCAAGGAAGATACCACCAGAGCAGAAAGCGTTGGTCTTGTAAGCCAAGGGGGTGAGCTTGCCGGTGCTGGGGTCCCACTCAGAAGAGTAAGCGTACTGGCCATTGGCGAGCTTGAGTTCAGTGTAGTTCTCGACCTTGTCAAGGAAGACGACCTTGCCGTTGGGCATCAGACCAGCGTGCATAGCAGGCACACCGGAGCGACCCTTAAGCGCGATGCTACCTGGCTTGGCGGCGCGAGGAGCAGGGCTGGCAGCAGGAGCAGGAACGCTGGGGGCGTTGACACAAGGACCGTTCTGGCAACCCTCACCGCAGTGAGCGGTGGTATTACCACAGTAGCCGTACATGGAGCAGCAGCTACCCTGGGCCCAGTTACCGCAGACAGTGTTTCCGAACTTGGCACCACAGCTGCCGTCAGTAGTGGCGACACCGGTGGGCTTCGCGGCAGCAGCAGTCGTGGGCTTACCAAGAACTGGCTCGCCAGAAGTAGTCGACGAAGGAGGACGGCTGGAGACAGGGGCAGGGTTGCCGTTAGCGGGTTGGCCCTTGGAAGGAGTTGTGTCCTTGCATCCGTTCTGGCATCCGTTGGCGGCAAGGCAGTGACCGTCAGTGGTACCGCAGTAGCCGTAAGATGAGCAGCATCCACCGAAAGCACCGTTGGCATCGCATGTAGAGCCGCCAAAGTCCTTTCCGCAGCGACCGTCAGCCCTGGGCTTAGCAGCACCGGAAGTGGCAGCCTTTGTGGGCTGGGGGATGGTGGTAACACCGCCCGCGCCGTTGCAGCCAGAAGAGCAGCCGGTTCCGCAGTGAGCAGGTGTGCTTCCACACCATCCGTACTCGGAGCAGCATGTGCCGGAGTAGACTGTGCTCTTGGGGTCGCAAAGCAGGTTGCCGTTAGCAGGACCGCACTTTCCGTCCGTAGAGTACTTGGCAGCCTGCCTCTTGGCGGGGACGACACGTAGCTGGGATCGAGAGACGAGCTTGGAGTACTCGCTCTTGAGGTCCGGTACGCAGATTTCGTAGTCGCCGCAGTGCTGGCCAGTCAAGCACTTGTTGTAGGTGTCGGTGCTGGAGCAGTTGGGGTTAACCCATTCGAAGTTGATGTTTGCGCTGGCCAAACCGGCGAGGGCGCCGAGGCCGATAAGTGATGCCTTCATTGTGAGGGTTCACCTGTTAAAGTGATTAGAAACGAGTGTGGTGATAAAAGAGAGTGTAAGCCAGCGATTGGGGCCGGTGATCATTCGAGATGCTGTTCTAGAATGATGATTACAAGGGTATATGTAGGTGAAGGTGATGAATGGCATTGATGATAGGGGGCGACGCAAGGACAGTTATGTAGTTGTTTTTGAGGGCGGGCAGATGGTCGTCGTGTCGCGAGGTTGGTGTTGCAAAAAAGAGGCTAACACCAGCATGCACAGCGACGTATTTTTGGCAGGCGGCAGGGAGCCCCGCGTGGTAGCGAGAACGCTCAGATGGAAAGTACGTACCTAGCGAAAACAAATTAAGTATTACTAGAGGGTTGGTTGTATGATGTCAAGGCAGCTGGAAACGAGTGACAGCTGTCGAGAGATGGGTAAAGAGTGAAGTGCTGAAGGCAAGGTGCTTGAAGTGCGCCTACAGCGATAGAGGTGAGGAGAGCAGAAGCGGGCGCGCCCAGATTCAAGTACCTGTGTAGAAAGCGCGTATACGAGGGCCGTTCAGCTGTGCTAGTCATCGCCTCGGCCATTTGCGACTGGAAAAGGAAAATTCAGGCACACATTGGACGCTTCGACCAGTAACGGTATTGCTCCAGGGCAGCCCTAAGGGGCACGAGCGGCAATCTCCACCCTGTCAGCCAATGCCAGCCCTGTGCGGCAAGATCGGCGCGGGGATTGGCCTACTCGAACTTCTATTTCTGGGCGCAAGGACTGGCTCCCAATGCACCGCCAGAGGGGAAGACGGCAATCGGCATGCGCTGGGCCTGATGCGACCTTGTGGGCGGGGGAGTAGGCACGCTGCACGCCTACATGTGCCCTCGTAAAGGTGGGCCGCAACAGTGAGGCTATTGGTGAGGCACACGATGCTCAGGGACCACGTCGACGCCAGCGAAGGATCGTCCTGGCAACGTTGAAGCGCTGTCACCAAGCCGACGGAAGTACTCAAGCCTTTGCTAACGCCAGATAAGCTTCGCGAGTCGGCCGCATGGCGTCGAAGAGATTGCATCCACGGCACGCCTGGGGACGTTCTTTGCCCGAAATGGCAACACGTGCTGCGTGGCTCCCCACAGATTCATCACTTCGGGCTAGCGTGACAGGGCTTTATTCTGCGTCAGGGGAAAGGCACGACCAACATGTCCTGCAGTACCAAGACAAGTCCAAGACTTTTGCTGAAGGTTACGTCAAAGAAACCTTCCGCCGAGCAAACACTCAAACGTTGGAAACAAACCTCCAAAATCTCACCCTGCTGACGCCCCTCAAAGTTGCCGGTATCCACGCCTTCCGACGGGCCTTCTGGAAACCCTGGACGCTCCCGTATTCCCACACACGCCGGCCATCCTTCTAGCTCAACAAGTGGACCATCGCTATCACGACCCTGCCGCGCGACCCAGAGACGGCACAACGTGACAAGCTTTGGTAACATCCAGACGGTCGGTTGCACGCAACTATGATGCAAGTAGATCAAGTCCACCTCTCCCCGTCCGCGTATCGGGATATGAGCAGTTCGTAAGGAAATTGCCTGGTAGCAGATCACGAGAGACGCTCACGCCATCTGCCAATTTCAATCTCACTCACCGTGCTTCAGGTATCGCGCCTTTTGCCTACTGCCAATGCCGGAGCAACACCGATGGTTGGATATTTGACCGCCCCTACCAGCCCTCCTCACCAAGCTCACCAAGGCGTGCAGCCACCCCGCCCCGGCCTCCCTCCAACACCGCCACCACCTTTGCAACCATCGCCAACACCCCTCATTTCAATTTGGAAATCCCCCAGACGTGTGCCGACAGCCGAGCTTTGCTGTCATGTTTGCCATATACCGATTGTTTTTGTCTTGTTTTCCCTTGGTATGTATCACATTCAAGACGCTGCAGATCCAACTCGCCAAACCAGGCAGCTTAACCGATTTCGTACAACGGCCCAAACATGTTCATTTCATCTTGTTTTCATGCGTCGGGGTTCCGCGTCTCCGCGACTTTTATTCCCGCATGCCATGTGGTTTTCGGTAGTTCGAGTGCCTTTCTGTCCGTCGAAGCATCGGTTGCGATAGCCCCAGTCCGTCGACGCTGGAACCCAAACTATTGAATGGCTTGCGACTAGCTCTGAGCTTGCATGAGCTTGCTGCCAACAACCATCACTTGGA